GCTCAGTTGGTTAGAGTGTTGTCCTGTAACTGAAAGGTTACCAATTTGATTCCTGGTCAGAGCACATACGTAGGTTGCAGGTTAGATCCCTGGTCCAGCTGTGGTTCAGTCTGGACGCATGCAATCTCAGATCCAGGTGCTGATCCCCATTCTGGGCACGTATGGGAGGAAACCAATTGATGCTTCTCTTGCATTGATGTTTCTCTCTCTCCCTTCCTCTCTCTCTAAAAGCATTGAAAAAACTGTCCTCAGGTGAGGATTAAAAAAAAAAACTCATAATGTTGAACATTGGAAAAGGTGTATAGGTCAAGACTTCAGGACAAGATGGACTCTGTGCTTGCCTGCTCCCATGACCACATCAATATACAACTAAATTGTAGGACAGCCATCATTGAGAGGCACTTGGAGACTAACTGGAAGTATTACTATAACTAAGGACATAAAGAAGCAGCCATGTTGAGACTGGTAGGAGTGGAGATGAAGAATGGGCAGGTCCCACACCCACAGTGTAGAGATTAAGAAGCAGGAGGGATATCTTGGCTCCAGAGTCCCCTCCTGAGGAGTGAGGGGACTCCGGCTCACCCTAGGTTCCTCAACTTGGAACCTCAGTTCCAGGAAGAGGAGACCCCATAATCTGGCTGTGATGTAGGTGGAGACTGTCCCAGAGAAATATCTGCTCTGATCAGAATGGTAGGAACGTAGAAACCAACTACAAGAAGAAAACTGAAAAACGCACAAACACATGGAGGCTAAGAAATGTGCTGCTAAACAATAAATGGATTAACAATGAGATAACGTAAGAAATAAAAAGATAACTTGAGACAAATGAAAACACAATGACTCCAAATATATGGTATATAGCCAAAGCAACTCTAAGAGGGAAATTTATAGTAATACAGAACTACCTCAAGAAATGAGAAATATCTCAAAAAAATAAATCTAACCTAACATCTAAAGGATCTAGGAAAAGAGGAACAAACAAAGCCTAAAGTGAGTAGAAGGAAGAAAATAAAGAGCATAAATTAAATAAAGTCTTAAAAAAAAAAAAAAGAATGGAAAGGTCAATGAAACCAAGAGCTGGTTCTTTGAAAAGATAAACAAAACTGATAAATCTTTGGCCAGACTCATCAAGAAAATAATACAGAGGCCCCAAATTAAAAAAGAGAGAGAGAGAGAAATGAAAGAGAACTGACAAACATCACAGAAATAAAATACCATGAATCATTATATACCAACAAATTGGACAACCTGGAAGAAATGGATAAATTCCTAGAAACATATAAGCTTCTAAGACTGAATCAGGAAGAAACAAAATCTGAACAGACCAACAACTACTAACAAAATTGAAGCAGTAATCAAAAAACTCCTTACAAACAAATGTTGTGGACCAGATGGCTTCACAGTTGAATTTTACCAAACATTCAAAGAAGAATTAATACCTACCCTTCTCAAACTATTTCAAAAAATGGGAGAGGAAGGCTCCCAAACTCATTTTACTAGGCCAGCATTACCCTGATTCCAAAATCAGACAAAGACACTATGAAAAAAGAGAATTATAGGTCATTATCCCTGATGAACATTGATGCAAAAATCCTTACCAAAATATTAGCAAACTAGGCCTAGCTGGCATGGCTTGGTGGATTGAGCACTGGCCTGCGAACCAAAGCGTCGCCGGTTCAATTCCCAGTGTAGGGCACATGCCTGGATTGCAGGCCTCGTCCCCAGCAGGGGGCGCATGAAATGCAACCACACATTGATGTTCCGATCCCTCTCTTTCTCCCTCCCTTCTCCTCTCTAAAAATAAATAAATAAAATCTTTTAAAAAAATTAGCAAACCAAATCCAGCAACACATTAAAAGGGTCATATGTTATGATCAAATGGGATTTATTCCTGGGATGCAAGCTTGGGTCAGTACCTCCAAATCAACTAATATTATATACCACATAAACAAAATGAAGGCTAAAAATTATATGATCATTTTAATAGATGCAGAAAAAGCATTTGACAGAATCCAACATCAATTTACAATAAACTCTCAGCAAAGTAGAGATAGAGGGAACATACCTCAACATCATAAAGACCGTATATGACAAACCCACAACTAACATTATACGCAATGGTGAAAAGCTAAAATCTCCTTAAGATCAGGAACAAGACAAGGATGTCCACTTTCTTCACTTGTATTCAGCATAGCATTGAAAGTCCTAGCCACAGCAGTCAGACAAGAAGAAGAAATAAAGGCATCCGACTTGGAAAGGAGGAAGTATATAAAACTCATTATTTGCAGATAACATGACACTATATATATAAAACCATAAAGACTCCACCAAAAATCTATTAGCACTTAGAAGTGAATTCAGTTAAGCAGTACGATAGAAAATTAATATTCAGAAAATGTTTGCATTTTTATACACCAATAACCAACTACCAGAAACAAAAATTAATAAAATGATCCCATTTACAGTTGCATCAAAAAACTCCTACTTAGGAATGAGTTTAACCAATGAATGAAAAGACCTGTACTTAGAAAACTAGAAGACATTGAGGAAAGAAATTGAAGAAGGTAAATAAAAGGAAGACTAGACTGTGCTGATGTATAGGAAGAATTAACATTTTTAAAATGTCAATACTACCCAAAGCAATCTACAGATTCAATGAAACTCCTTTCAAAATACCAATGGCATTTTTTCACAGAACTAGAAAAAATAATCCAAACATTTATGTGGAACCACAAAAGACCCTGAGCAGCCAAAACAGTTTTGAGAAAGAGAACAAAGTTGGAAGTATCATGCTACTTTATATCAAATTATACTACAAGTTTATAATAATCAAAACAGCATAATACTGGCCTGAGAATGGACATACAAATCAGTGGAACAGAATAGACAGCCCAGAAATAAACCCGCGCCTGTATGGTCAATCTGTGACAAAGGGGGCAAGAATACACAGTGGGGTGAAGACAGTCTCTTCAGTGTGGCACACATTATAATGGAATATTACTCAGCCATAAAAAGAAGGAAATCTTTCCAGTTGCGACAAAATGGGTGGACCTTGAGGGTATTATGCTAAGTGAAATAAGTCAGAGAAAGACAGATACCATATGATTTCACTTATATGTGGAATCTAAAAAACAAAATAGAAAAAACTCATAGGTACAGAGAACATTTTGATGGTTGCCAAATGGGAACCACATCTCTGTAGCTATAAAAATAGTCACAGAGATGTAAAAAGTACAACATAGAGAATATAGTCAGTAATAATGTAATAACTGTGTACTGTGTGGACATATGAGTACTGGACGTATTGGGGTGAGCACTTAAAGGTATAAGAGATGTCTAATCACACCTGAAACTAATATAATATTGTATGCCAACTGTAATTGAAAAATAAGTAAATTAAAATAATAAAAAGCTTTGTCAAATGTAAAGTGTTAATCTAAATGTGAATTACAATTTTGATTTCATGCTCTTTGGAATAAATTTCAACTTTAAATGACAAGCAATCATTGTGAGGTACCAATAGCTTTGATAAATACACAACTTTACAATTTCTAAACAGTTTTCCAGGGTAGCACAATAAATAATGATTTTTTACCCATGAGTGCAGTTTTATTTTCCTCATCTTGATATTACTTTACTGAGGAAAAAAAAAAGTAAAGATTCTATTTTTGGTTGACCAAAAAAAAAAAAAAAAAGAAAAAAAGAAAGAGAAGGCATATATAAGTACTCTCTAGACAGGGAGAGAGGGGGAAGAATGCAACTGATGCCAATAAATGAACACACACACACACACCCTCTCTTGCAAATGCTTGACCTTGTTTTTCAACAAATTTACAAGTGGGGCAAAAGTAGGGTTACAGTCATAAGTACGTGAAACAGTTTATTCTTGTATTATTTTTATTTATTATTGTGTTGTTTTCCATACAAATAACTGTAAACCTACTTTTGGCCCACCCTGTATATTTTTAAATGGTATCTGAAATAGTACAAGACTATAATAATATACTTCCAGTTACTTCTGGAAGTTTCTCCAGGTATTCTCTTATGTGTACTGCAGAACATATTCCTCCCTCCTGTCTCAGTTCAGATCTTTCTAACTTGCTGCTGTATAATTGCCAATAACTCTAGTTAGGTAAATTGCTGGGCACACCTATTATACACTCAGGGAAAAACAGCACCCAATTATTTCCTGTTTTTGCTATTTGAGTATAAAAATGAGGACTCCTAATATTGCCTTTGAACTTTAGAATTAGGTTGTCTTATAAAGTCAAATTATCTACTTCTTTGTGAAGTGTATCATATAACTTTTCTCTAATAGTAGACCAAGGTTTAAATTTTGAAATCACAGTAATATATGCTTCATACTAGTATTTTAAGCCTTTTTTTGTTAAACCAAAGTCACATTAAGAAACATGTTTTATAATGTGATCAAGTGTACAAACACACACACAAACATTATATATATATTTTAAATAAAAGTTGCATAGTACTTACCATGGATCTATGCAAAATACTCTGGTATTATCTATTCAATTTCATTTTAAAAATTGGTATCAGTCCACCAAATTGACTTCTTTAGACTATGCTTTTCAGCAGTTTCATGGTTCTCAGCAGAGAGGGTGATTCTTTTGATTGTTAAACAAAATTTCTAGAGTTCAAGAATTCAGTTTTGAAAGAAATTAGAAATATGTCCTAATTTTGTTGTAAATACTAACTTTTTATGTATAGATAGGCAGGATGCTTTTGGTGTTAGTTGCTAGTATTTCTCTCATTTCTTGGAGTGTGATAGGATGAGAAGGAACTTTCTAAATGGTGATTTCTTTTCTTTCTGCAGCTCTCATGTGTGAAGAGAAGCCGAGCGCCTCATTAATATAAGGACCTCACCAATTGGAAGTTACAGATTTTGCCATCAAGTTACCTTATCCCTTTTGGTCTGGTTCTTTTTCTCAACCAGTGGAAACATCTTTCTTTCAAGTTACTTTTGTTGCAGAGTTAAGAAAATGGCTGACAGTGACTTTGGGAAAAACCCCACAACGTGCTCCAACTGTTCATCTACTCAGGAAGACGTACTTTGTGTATGTTCCTATAACACAGGGCTTTCTCCAGTGTTGGTGGTAGAAATGTCAGAGACATCAAGCATTAGTTTTTCAGACATTTCAGTTTCACTGGAGAAAAAAAAAGAGCAACAAACTATTAAAGATGATTCCTTTGTAGAAGATTTGGTAAATATCAAAGATTCTACTTCCCAACACAAGTCAAAATCCCATCCTTAGCTTCATTCATGTATCTCATGGGCCTTTGTCAGCTAATTCCTTGCCTTCTTAACTATTAAAGGAGTGTTTCTTTCTTACATAAGAAGTAAAAAGTTGATTAGTACTTTCTTTTATGATATTTCCAACAGTGCCCAAATTAATTATTTCCCAGGATTGTGAATAACTTGGAATGTTGTTCCAGCTTTATTAAAAAAAAGTGGTTCAAATTGAATTAAAACTGAATTTTGGGGCACTGTTTTCAATGCAGAATGAGTTATGGTTGTCGTTAAATATAGGGTGGTTATTATTTAAGACAATTCCTGGTTATCTAGATAGAATATCAAATAAAGTCTACAAAATCAGTGTGCAAACAATCCACAACTACCCAGCTGAACTGGCGTGGGTGTGTTCACCGTTCTCGAGAAGAGGCAGCGTGGAAAGTTTCACTTGACATGGCACAGCTTTGGAGACAGCGCTGTAAGATGAAGAAAAGTTAGGTTCTCGGCCCTCAAAGTTGTAGCTTTCTCAAATTTTCACCCTCCACTGTTTTTCTTTCTGATTTGTATTACAGTATAATTATTGCTACATAGGCATCTCTGAATTAGTTGTTACTGGGTGAGTTGTTACTACATTATTTTCATTTGAAGCATAACTTGTGAATGGCCAATAATTTTTTATGTATAATCTATTTGAGATGATTGTTATGTTCTGAAACAAGAATGTTTGAGAAAGCCGTGAAGTTGCCTTCTCAAGACGTTAAAGACTCGTCGAGTAAGTTCTGATTTATCTGCTCTGCAGCTTGTAGCGTACACCTGGCTGGATTTAGGAGGTCAGATCCAGTGGCTTCTTTAGGTCTCTTTTGGCCTAATGAGCCAGTAAGTCATAAAGGGCTTAGAATTTGAAAAAAGACAGTGAATTATTTTGTCTGCAATAAATAGCATGGCAAGTATTAAGGATGTGTCATATTATCTAAATTAGGGCTCTTTGTAACAAGCGTGTTATATCTTAATATTGCTTTTTTTTTTTTCCATTCCTTTTTGGTCTAAGCCCTCAAAAACCTCGATTGTAGAGAGAAAGGCATCTCAACAGCAGTGGAGTCGGGGCAACATTACAGAAGGAAAAGTTCCTCACATAAGGATGGACAATGGAGCTGCTATTCAGGTATTTAGAAAGTGAAGTGAAGCTAGTAGGAACTTTAGGTTTCTTCTGTGTCACTCAATGGTTAATGGCAAAAGTGATTTAAAAATAAGTGTCTAAGGAAAGGAAGGAAAGGAAAGGGGAACTTTACCATTTTCAAGTATGTCAAAGTCTTTACTATAGAAGAGGCAGACTGTTTTTTCTGTCATAGAGGACCAAATGGATTTTAATCAAAGTGGAGGGCATTTTTATTAGATAAAATGAGAACATTTAGGTCTTCAGGTCTTGCCTCTTGCTGAGTGCAACCTTGGAGCCTTTGTGTAGACCTCATTAGGATTCAGAGAGAGACCTGATGACTTCAGATGGTTTGGCCGCTCACTTCTTTGAGTCTGTTTTTTGCAGCCTCTGATTGGATGAGTACCAGCATTAGTCTTCCTAGGATTCTAATTATAACATACAAATATGAATTAAATATTAGTACCATTTTAGAAATTAAATGTTATTTTAATATCAGTTTAAAGGAACTTCAACAAGAACAACCACAAGAAGAAACTTGTATTAACATTAACTTAAAAAAATTGTTTTAAGATATTTAGTAATATACTTCAAGTGACCAGAAAAACTTCCTGAGAAATTCTGACTTGAAAAGTTTAAATTGCCCTTTTTAAATAAAAGATCTGTATTTTTTAAAATGTACAAATTTACTGAGTTTTAAATGTAGTCATAAGAGCTTTTATAAAATCAAATGTATTCATTGTGAAAAATTAGGAAAATATAGATAGAAAAGTGGAGAAAATAAAAAAATTGTGAGCCAAATATAATCAATTTTAACATTTATTATCTTTACTTCATTTTTATGCATGTGTGTCATCCTGTTTTTCTTTTCTATTTTTCCTATTTTTTCCTTTTGAATATTCCTGAAAATTATGAATATTCAAATACAGAATATTCAAATAATTCCATAAATTATGGAATATTCAAAGTATGTCCATATTTTTAAGAAATAACCTTAACTGGTATAGTTGAAATTTCTCCTCTTCAATGGACAGGCTCATTTTAAAGATTTTAAACATTTCAGTAGAATATAAAAAAGGAAGTTACCATCATCCAGTAATTTGCTGGGTAGTAGGATTTCTACTCACTATTTAAATGAACACTTTTCCAGACATTAATGTGAGCACCATCCCCACACACATTTTAAACATTTTTATAATGGAATTGTATCACATACGCTTTCACACTCCACACTGTATCATGGACTTATTCTGTGTCAATAAAAGTGGACCTACGTTACTATTTTAATATCATTCTCTTAAAATTAATACAAACGAGAAGTCATTTTCTTCTCCCTTTTACCACTATGTAATGATGTCAAAGCAGAAAGTTGAAGAAAAAGATTAGTTTATAAAAAACTAGTTGGACAGTTGAGTGATTCCTCTACCCACTGCACATTTTAAAAGTCCAATTTAAACAACATTAAAATTCTGTGTCCAAGTTGTGGTCCTGTATGTTTAGAGAGAAAATGAGAGTTCAGTTTGTAAAGGTCAAGAAAAATTGGGGAAATGGTTATGGAGTTGAGATTTTTTTATTCTGTGGGGGAATAAAGGGGTAAAAGATCATTGAAATTCAGATTTAATTCACTTTACATGATATATAGTAGGGAGTGGCATATAAATATAATGAAAGTAAAATATTTGTCTTATTTTAATCATCTTAGTTTTCTGACTTTGATTCTCCCTGTTCAGTGGTAGTGGGGGAGCGAGAGAAGCCAAAGCAATTCTGTCATATGAAAGCAGTGTCTCTGGGACCGGATGCACCCAGGCAGGGTGAGCCTAGGAGTCTCCATTTGCAATGTTCATGACCGTAAATCTGGAGCTTCTCCTCCAGGGCTCAGCCTCACATACCCAGCCTCTCATTTCTCTCAGATCTCATATCCTATGTATATATCGCAGGATTCTGACTGGCTGGCTTGGGTTTATTGATTGATTCATTCATTTATCAATTCACTGATTCATTCCACATTTGCACTGCTCTACTTTTGGAATGCCTTCCTTGCCCTGCTTGGATTATTGAACAAAAAAAAGATCTCAATTATTATTATTTTTTTGCCTTTGTTTGCTCACATGCCAGTCTCAGAAGCCACCTGTTTCATAATGTTTTCCATTATTCTCCCAGGGTCTTAGCTCTGGTCTCTGGCTGCAATGTCATTTTGTATTTTTATTTTAACTTAAGGCTTTATGACTTTAGAATAATCCTGTCTCTTGAGTAGATTACAAATTCTGAGAACACAGGAATTGTTTTACTCAACTTTGTAGTCCCCAAAGCGTATCTCACAAGGAAATATCTAAGGAAAGTGTAACATGTTGAAACTGAATTATTTCCTTCTTTCTTCCCTTTCCTGCCTCCCCCTTCCCCCACTTCCCTCCTCTTCCCTCCTTTCCCCTCCTCTTCTTTTCCCTCCTTCCTCCTTCTCTTCCTCCCCATCTCTTTCCGTCTTCCTTTCCCTTTCCTTCTGTCTTTCCTTCTCTTTTTCTTCCTTCCCTCCCTTCCCCCCTCCCTCCCTTCCCCCCTCCCTCCCTTCCTCCCTCCCTTCTTTCCTCCCTCCCTTCTTTCCTCCCTCCCTCCCTCTCTTCCTTCTTCCCCCTTCTCCCATGCACTAAACATGGATCTTTGGCCTACAAGGTTTCAGGGTAGGCTTTTTAAAGGATACAAAAGAAACAGCTTCTTAAGGAGCTTCTACACATCTTATCTTGGATAAAAAAAAAATGAGTGAAAATGTAAGCAAGAGAGTAATAATAGTGTTTGAGGATCAATGCATACATGCTGAGAGAAGTCAAGAGAAAGGAACAATCACCACAGTGCAGAGTTAGGCAGGGTAGCCCTTCATGAAAGAGGTAAATAATTAGTTGGGCATTGAATCTTCTTTTACTAAAGTAAGAAAGGAAAGTAAGCAGTAGAAAATACGAAGCCTAGCAACTACTTTACCTGTTGCATGGTGAAGATGAAAGTGATCGCACAGAGCCTGGCCAGCAATTCTAGGGGAGCCTTTAGCTGCCCAACCCCGGAGAGGCGGCCCCCGGTGGCATTGCCTCAGCTGTTCCCTCATGCTCAGAAACTCCCCCAAGACCCAGAAATTCTTGTTAATGCCCTCGAGTTGGTTTGGAGCTGGGAGACTGACTCCTCCCAGCCAAATTCACAAGAAATCAAAGTGTAACTGAGTGACCAGTTTGTTATTTTATTGTACAATGTGAACCAAATGCTGGCATTGGCAAGACAGTGCGTTCTGGTTTATGAGTAGAAGGCAGATGATAAGCAGAAGGATTCTTGGTCTGGAGAGATGGTTATTATTTCCTCAGTGATGATTTATGTTAAAATTTCTGTCACGTACTACTTTTTCTAAAACAAGGACTAAAACAACAAAAGTGATTTTCAATAGAAATAATGAAGATAAAGAAAAAATGTTACTTGGTAAACAAGAAAGCAGTAGTTCAATGGCTAATGTGTGTTAGTTTTATGGTATGGCTCTCAGAGTTTTGGGATAATTTGGGAGGTGAATGTATTTTATACACATATATATGTATGTATATATTAACATTCCATTCCTTCTTTTTCTTGTGAAGATATTTCATCAATATTATAGTTATAAGAGATTCATTTTTATACTTTTCAGGTTTTCTAATTTCCGTATTAGGATTTCTGATTTCCCTCCAAAGGACATTTAATGAAATTCATCGAAGCTTATTTTTGTTTAATTAATTTTGTTCATTAACATTGAAGTAAATATGTGCTATCTTCTATTTGCTTTTACCCTGGAGCAGAATTTCTCTTCCCTTGGGTGGATACCTGTCAGTATTATGTGTTCATTTTTAATATCCGATGAATTACAGAGAGAGACAAAGGAACTCTTATTTTTTTCATCCAGGAAATCTATACATTTGGAAGAATATTGGGAAAAGGGAGCTTTGGAATGGTCATTGAAGCAACAGACAAGGAAGCAGACACAAAGTGGGCAATTAAAAAAGTGAACAAAGAAAAGGTAAGGCATATTAGCATCATACCAAGGGCAGCTCAGGGTGGGGTGGGCCGTACAGTTTTGTGCACTAACACACCTGCTTCCGACCTGGGCCGGGTCTGGGCTGTTCCCTGGGAACTGGGCTTTTCTCAAGCCTTCTGGGAGGGGACCAGTTCTTAAACTCTGGGGGATAAGTGTATCTAGAAAAAGCAAATGTAAGGATGGCTGACAGAGTCAATACAACCAAATATAGGTAAAGTTTATACCAGAGTGAGTTGAAGATAAGCTCTGATTATCAGTATGTATAAATGTAGGGCTATTGGCTCAGCTAGACATGCCTTAGCTAGAAATGAGTCCTGGGACTCTCTCCTGATGTGGTTCTGCTCTACTTTTCTCCGGTTCTCTCCTTTCCATTGATTCCCCATTTCCTCACTGTTAGTTTGTTCTGTTTATTCATCCGCCCTGCTTTTTAAGTTTGAACCACTATGTACTTCCCCAACTACATACCGTACTCTTCACTTAACATCCGCTGGGTTCCTCCTGGGCTGGAGAATGGCTGAGCGTCTCCTTAAGGGAGGTTCTAAGTCCTCTGGTTTTACACCTGATCATTTCATCAACATTTAAAAAATTTCTGTGCCTGGGGAAAAAATTATGATGTTTTCCATAGCTTTGTGATGATCAATACTACAGCTACAAAGTGAGATGTTTAAATGTATTCTTTAAAACAAATGATAGCAAATTACATACCATTTCTCTTTGAAGATGAATGAAGTAACATATAAATCTTAATAAAGGGAGATGCAGAGCTTGTCTAGAAGTCTTCAGAATTTTAAGACCATGGTGCTACATGGAATATTATTTGCTTTGCCCCTTTGGCATCAGGTAGGACTAGGATTTAGGTTTAGGGTTATATGCGTATAATCAGGATACCTGCTTGCAATTTTAGGAATTCATAATCTTGTACACACGTATTGATGCTGAGGGTTTACAGGACACTAAGATAGTAAAATAAAAGTGATATAATCAGTATATGAATTGGACAATACATTACTGTGTTATATACAGGTCAAGCTGTTTGGGGAGAGACTGAGGAACAGAATTAAGGATTTTAGGAGGAATTGTGATAACTCTCCATATCTAATCTAGACAGAAATTCACTTCTCACAGTTACTATTTTTCTTCACCCTTTTAGGATAACCTTAAAATGTGACTTTTCATCCTACATGAGTAGAGTGGGAAGTTTTGGTTAGAGGGTAAAATTAATTGGAAGCAGGGATGGCTCTAGGTAAAATTTTAACTTAGGTAAAGATTGCCTTATGATCAATCCCTTTTCAGCCCTTTAAGAACTATTGTGTACTCTCCTAAGCTTGGGGAAAGGGCGTGCAGGGAAGGTGTGAGGAAAGAAGGAGGGCTAAAAATCTTTGTTAATCCCTTTCAGGGATGTTTTCTGTACTTGAGGACAATGGTTATTTGCAAATAATGATGGTCATTTAGATTCAATAGGGGTGCTGTTTGGGATGGTGGTAGTGGAGGGGGGGGGATCCTGAAATTTCGTAGATGACATTGTATCAATGGAAACTCCGTGACTTACACCCTAATTTGGAGGCCTTGTGCTCCAGTGTTGCTGCCTTTATCCTTTGCTGTCAGGTATGGTTAATGGTTCCTTGTAAGGAGGTGAAGTAGGGGTTAGGTTGGTTGGAAGGTAAGATCTTGATTTCTCTCTCAGTTAATTTTTGAGGCCTGGGGACTAGGAAGTGATATAATGCAGGGCTAAGTATAGAACCTCACTTCCTATTGTTTCCTTTGATATATATATAAAAATAATCAAAGCAAAACAACAACAAAATGGAAAAACACTTTGTTTTTATCTTCTCCAATTGATGTCCTTGGAAAATAGATTTTGTTTTTATTATGCTAACATCAAAGGATCAACACGATTCTGAGGGAAATACCAAAAAACATATTAAAACTTGGAATAATTTTAGTGTGGTGATAGAGACCATATTGTAGATAACTTACAGAAACTGTCCAACAAACACATGTGTTTTGAGCAAAATTATATATAAAATTGGAGAAAGGAAGGAAGGGACATAATTTTATTATGGAAGTAAGTTGCATGTTATCTTTTGAAAAAGACACTTCTCAAGAAAATGTAGAAAAATGTAAGAATACCTGTAACTTTTATTTTGAGGTATGTAGTAGTGACATTTATATATGAAATCTGTGTTCCCTCATTATTTAAGGCTGGAAGCTCTGCTGTGAAGTTACTTGAACGGGAGGTGAACATCCTAAAAATTGTGAAACATGAGCACATCATACATCTGGAACAAGTGTTTGAGACGCCCAAGGTAATGCTTTAGCAGGTGCTGCATTTTGAAAGTTGTTATTATTACAAAATGAACATCATTTCTTTCCGAAGTAATCCCTCTGGGCACAGTTGCTCATGTCCTTGGCGTGAGTTTGTCACTGAAGATTGATGAGAGCATTCTGGAGGACTTTTATTATTGATTGTATAATTAGGTGTCTGATGATTAGATTGATGGCTTTAGTGATATTTTGGGGTGGCATGTTGAAAACAAATGTTTAAAACAGAAGCAGCTTCGTACACAACCCAGCAGTGATTAGAGCTTCCTTAGAGATGGCTTTACTTTTGCTTAGGTCCTTGGTTTCCCCATCGTAGCCTCTTGGAATAGTGTCATAATTTTGCAAGGTTAGCTTTATAGTGAGGTTGGCATGGGTATATTTGGCACTGTGTAGAAGATATTTTGTCACCTGTGTCTTGTCAATATATTTAATCTTCATTCTTCTCCCTAGATGTTATCATTATTTTCTTTGAATACATGTAGTTTTTATTTAGAGTTGTTATGAAGTCTGGGGATTTGCCACTCTGCCTCCAGATTGTTTAGTGCCTATGGGTTTCGGTGTTTCTCTGCTTGGAGGTGAAATAGTGATTAGACCTGTGGACTCTGGGGTCAGATTGCCTGTGCATTTGAATTCCAGCTCCATTATTGGCTATGAGACCACGGCAAGTTACTCAACCTCCCTATACCTCAGTTTCCTCATCTGTAAAATGGCTTTAATAATAGTATCAACCTTACTTGATTGTTGAGTGGTTAAATGGGAAAATGGATGTAAAGTATCTGTCTCATTAAATGTTAGCTGTTGTTTCCTTTGTCAGTCTCTAAGGCAGGAATAGTCAATTTGGGTTACGCCTTAGGCGTGATTCATTAGGAGTGCTTAATAACTAATGAAAACCACAGTTACCTTTATGGAAGCAGTATATGGCCTTGGTGCTGAAGCTGTACTCTCAGTCTTAAAGTTGTGATTTCTTTTCTTTTCTTGTCTTGTCTTTTCTTTTTTCTTTAGCCAAATACACTTCATTTCTTTTCTCTCCCAGCCACCAAAGAGCCTAGCACATTCATGGAGCTGGAAAAGGCCACCCAGGGGCCTACAGTAGAAATAGGAGAGAAAACTAAGGGTTGGCTCTGGGCCAGTGTCTCTGACTACAAAGTGGTGATTTCTTTATCCTCAAATATTCTTAGAATAATTTTGCTCTTTAATTACCAGTGTTAGGCAACCTATTTGATTAAGTTGTGTCTTGGTGTGGTTTTCTTCGTGTTTCTTATGCTCTTGGATCTGTGAGTTTGTGGTTTTCATCAAATTTAGGAAATTTCTGTCCATTATTTCTTCAAATATTTTTCTGTCATCTCCCATGTTGGGGACCCCAAGTACACATGTTAGATTGCTTAGTATTGTCTACAGCTTACTGATGCGCAGTTTATTTTTTAAATCATTTTTCTGTCCTTCTCTCATTTAGCATAGTTTCTGTTGTGACGTTTTTAGGTTCAGTAATCTCTTTTTTCATTGCATTGTATGTGCTGTTTATCTTTTCCAATGTAAATTTTATTTGGGTCAGTATTTCCCCCTCCTTCTTAAATGTAGTCACTGTAACTTTTAATTATAGTGACTACATTTAGAAGAGAATTCTTCTACTAATTCTATCACTTGTGTCATTTCTAGTTCAGTTTTTATTGATTAATTTTTCTTTTCCTTCATTACATGTTATATTTCCCAGTATCTTTGTATGTCTGTTAATTTTTTATTGGATGCTGGATATTTTTATGTTTTTATAACTGTATTTTAGCTTTATTGTAGGCCATACTTCGGTCACTTGGAAACAGGCTGATGCTTTTGAGGCTTGCTTCAAGCTTTGATAGGTGACAGCAGAGCAGCCTTGGGTCTTGGGCTAATTTTTTTCCTACTAATGAAGAAAGCCCCTTCAGAGTACTCTACCCGGCGATGCCCCCGAATTATGAGATTTTCCACGCTGGCTAATGGGAATGCAAACTCTTTTTGACCATGTGTAAGCTCCAATCATTGTTCCCTCTGTTCTTTTTGCACTGTTCTTTTTCTAGCTTCTGGTAGTTTCTTCTTACACATGTGCTGATTATTATTCTGCTGAAGACCTGCGGGTGATCCTCTGCAAATCTCTGGAACTTTGTCTGTGTACAGCTTTCTCCTTTTGGTACTCTGCCCTGTGAACTTTGGTTGTCTTGGCTTTCCTGGACTTCCAGCCCCATCTCTTCAATTCCTGGAGACTGCTGGGCTCTGCTTGGATTACCACTCCCTGCTCTGTGGCCTGCAAGCGCTCCCCAGACAGTGAGCTGGCATAATCATGGGCTTGCCTCGTGCGTTTCCCCTCTCTCAGGAACACTGCCCTTCGCTGCCTGATGTCTCATGTCTGAAAATTGTTGTTTTCTATATTTTGTCCATTTCTTAAGTTGTTTCAGGAGAGAAGGTAAGTCTGGCCTCTGTTACTCCATATTGGGCACAAGTGAAGGTCCGAATCTAGAATAGTTTGAAGGCAAAGGAAACCATTATCTGTGATTATTATTTTATGTATTGTTTGCCCTTGATTCCTGTAGTCAGCTCTGCCTCCCCATCCTTCCCGGCTTACACCAATGCCGAGACTGTCCATTGAAGCCATCTTTAGAATTATTGGAAATTGCTACCTGATTCGTTAGGCTATGGTATTAGCTCTGATCATCCAATTTGACTATGTTATGGTATCTTGTGAGTTGAAATGTTCTCCAGATTGACACAATTACTTCTAATAATTATAAAAAGACTTTTAAAATCCTTTTATTGCTATAACTTTTATCACTGTACCTACTTAAAATTGACATCAATTTATATTGTGAGCACAGCCAATGTAACTGTTCCTTCTACCATTTCATGTACCAGTGATCTCTGCAGTGCTGTCGGCAGAGAAAAATACGGCCTTGTTCAAAAGCTTATTTGTGTTAGACTTTGCAGAATAGTTACTTATGAAATTCTAAAGCATTTTGAGGTTTAGTGAATCAGAATGTTGACTATAAAAAGAAAAAGTGCTAACCTTCTCTTTTTGTTCTTGTGCTTGCTGACTGAACAGTAGTTGCATTCCTAGAGGTTATAGAATAGAATCAGACCCCCAAAATTTTAAAAACAACAAAAACCTAGCAGCACAGAATAGAATGGAGATGGAGAGGGTATTCGGTGACTGAATAGCTAAAGATGTGGAAAAAACTTGCATTTTAGTTGCCTGTGAATCTTTTTGACTCAATAGATGACTTGATTGTTGTAATACCTAAAGTGATCTTAATATACATCAACAGAAACAGCAGATACGGAGTAGGCATTGCATCTATGGCTTCTACCTCTCATAGCCAATTAGTCCCTAACCTCCGCCGTTTCTTTCTCTTAGATGTCTTTCACATCTTTTTCTTCTTCCCCTTCTTGTCTCTGTTCTATGCCTCTACTGTCTGTAAGCAAGTCAGCATACTACCATGTGCAAGCCAAATCTGGTAGGCTGCCCATTTTTTTATGGCCCATAAGCTCGTTTTTTTTGTTTTTCTTTTTAACATTTTTAAATGGTTCAAAGAAATTTAAAAGACTAATATTTCATGATATGAAAACTATTTGAAAGTAAAATTTCAAAGTCCATAAATAAAGTTTCGTTGTATTGTTTATGATTGCTTTTATGCTATAACAGTGGAATTAAGTAGTTATAAAAGAGATTGTATAGCCCGCAAACCTTAAAGTATTTATTGTCTAGCCTTCACAGAAAAAGCTTGCTGAGCCCTGTTCCACTTTACTATTAGAGTGTTCCTTTAGGAATGTGAAATTGTTAATAGGATCCACCCTTCCCCCTACTTCAGCCACCAGCTTAAAAATCTTCATGGCTCCCTACTGCAAATGGGAAAAAGTTGCAAACTCCTTCGTGTGGTATTCAAGACTCTTTACAACCTGATGCCAACCTGTTCTTTCTGGCCTCACTCCTCACCACGAGTCTCCTCCATTCTGCCCCACCAAACTCCAAATGCTATTGTCAGTGGCAAAATGGCACCAGAATGTTACCAGACCTCGGTTCAGGAACCTTCGTACTTGAATTTTGGCTAAGAAATAACTCAAAACCAAGATTCCAATTACAAGAGAAACTTCATTTAGAAAGTCACAGAGGTAGAAAAGGTGGGCCAGCTGGGCTATGTGGGCTCAGGGAACAAGTTACAGGGGCAGAAAAAGGGCCCTTGGAGTTTAGGAGAGAGAAAGGCAAAGGTCCTGTTCCTGGGGGAAGAAGAAGGTGGAACACTGAGGGTGTGCTCCAGAGAGAGAAAGAGCACACGCTGGGCCCTCCATCCTGAGGGTTTTTATCCCCTTTCTAAAGGCGAGACCTTAGGGGAGGTCCCGGGTGAGGCGGGAGGTTGGACTGTGGTCCTGCAGAGGCTGCTCCTGGTCATCACGGAGGGGGGGAAATAAAATAAGTCATGCCAGACACTTATCTGTCTGGGCAAAGAGGTGGCACTTTCCTCTAGTGGAGAAGGCGCCGAGCCCCTGTGTCCAATGGTTTTTATTGAAAGGGCTATCAGTGGGGCCAGGTAGTAGGAATGTACAGGTGATCTCATTACATCAGTATGTTAGTGTTTACAGAGAAGAGATGATGTTTTGAAGAAAACAAACGGCAGGAACACACTGGTTTACATGGGTCCAAGATGAGAAGAGTAAACATGAGAGCGTAAACATGAGAGTGCCAAAGGGTTTAGGGTCAGGGTCTGTGAATAATGTAAATTTCCTTCCCAGCATGAGCTGGTTATCATAGCTTTTGACGGAGAAACAAAGCACACTTCAAAGAATTTACTTCTAGACGTGACTTCCCCCGGTAACCACCCGATCCAGTTTAGGGCTGTCTCCAGTATTGTTTCAAACCTGAGCCAGGCAGGGGATCAGAGCTGCCAAGAGATAAGGAGACTTCTCTCAGATAGAATGAGGACCCCAGCCATATCAAAACTGAGGGGTGAGGGTCTTTTTGCCTTTTCTTCATGTCCCCCAAGTTCTTCCCAGGTACCCATGCGGCTGTGCCTGCCTTAGGTTGCCCCTGCCATCGAAGGGTCTCATCCATCATTGACTAACCAGTCATCCTTCAGGGCCAGGCAGGGTGATGTGAGACAGATTTTCTCTCCTCAGTGGCCTGTTTTCCCAAGGCCCCCTTGCTTAGCTCCAGCCTTGGGGCCCTCTCTCCTGTCGGTGGGGCTACAGTTCCTGAAACCAGATGGGATGTTTCCCAACACCAGGGGAGGGTCTCAATGGAATATTCAGCAGCTTTCCAGGTGTGCTCTTTCAGGGTCATGGTCTCTATTGAGTGGTTGGCACCAGGGCAGGGGGTCATTTGTCATCGCAGCTGGTCTTAATGTCAACCATGGCATCACTCCTTCTGGTTTTGCTGCTTTTCTGGGCCTGGAGTTGAAACTCAACTGAGGCCTAAATGTCATCACTAGTTCGACCAAAACCCTGACTCTGTGGTCAGCAGACCCAAGGCTTTGTTCCTGAAATTATTTGATGCGAGTGAGAACCTCGTTGTTCCGAGGGCTTTGTGCTTAAGGGAGTAGTCATGCAAGGGTTTGAATGGGAGTGGTATGGCCTATTCTTGTCCCCTTTGTTCCTTCTCTAATGGGGTCTACCACGGGACTAGTGGCATGCCAGGGGAGGGATGGGCACTCTGGGGATGAGCGACCCTGCACTCTGGGCATCCCACCCTGCAATCGCCCATTGCTAGGCACCTGAGGCATTCTGCCCTGGTGACCTTCCATGTGTGCCTGGCCTGTCGTTCCTACTTTGCTCATGCCTGTCTAACTGCCTTCTTCACCATTAACACTGAGACATTTGCTATTCTTTTAACAGCCATTGTCATTTCCAGTTTGGTAGTCTTTGCAAATACCACATGTTCTGCCTATTCTTATCCACATTCTCTACTACTATATTGCTATTCAGTCATCCAGACCTGATGTCACCTCCTCAGTGGGCATTCTTTAGGCAGATGCTTCCCTCCTCTGTAATCTTACGACATTTGGGAGACACCTCTTCTATTATCACTTATCACCTGGTATTGGAATTATAAAGACTGTCTTACCCTTCCATGTCCCTCTGGTATCCTGCACAAAATCTTGCACATGATAGATAATAAATATTTTTCAATTAATAGATTGATGACGGTTGTGATCATATTTTTACTATATATGTAATATATAACATTTTTAAGATCCCCACCTATATAATTTGCTTTCTCTGTCTCTTTTCAAATATATAATGATATAATGTCAGAAAATGTACCTTGTGATGGAGCTTTGTGAGGATGGAGAACTCAAAGAAATCCTGAATAAGAAAGGGCATTTCTCAGAGAATGAGACGCGGTGGATCATTCAAAACCTTGCATCAGCGATAGCGTATCTTCACAATAACGGTAAGAGGAGGATCATCCAGGTCATTGACTCCATGAATGCAGGCACCACTTTTGTTTAAGGGTAATTGTATTCAGGATTCATGGCCAGAGAAAGAGTGCCTACCAGTATGGAAGGTTTTATTGAAACATTTTTAAAAATTTTCTTTTTCTTTAAAGTGTTTTTTTCCTGTTTAACTTTATTATTTTAATTAGAAGCAAGGCAAGTGTACAATTGCATTGTCCATGGACAAGGGTGAACTTATGAACATTTCTATTCAACTGTTTGAAAAGCAGCTATTATATCAAACCAAACGTAGACAAATCAATAAGTGAAATTTCTAAAAACATTTTATATATGAGGTCTTTCCAGAAGGTATCCAGCCATGTAATATGAAAAATAGAGACACTTATAGAAGAAGATACAAGATACAAGAAACATTGGACATAGGACAGGGATGCCTCAGTCCCCTTCAGAACAGGCACCTTGGGACCTCACACAGTTCTCCCAATCGCCATCAGCTTCCCCATCGTATTTTCCTGAATCTCACCAGTGGTCTGACATCTCATCCCTTTCACAGGTGATTTTAGTTTTGGGAAAAGCCAGAAGTTGCAGGGTGCCAAATCTGGGCTGTAGATGGGCCGAGTTACCTGGGTGATTTGATGTTTCACAAAAAAACTCTGCCTGAGCCGTGGAGCATGAGTGGCTGTGTTGTCATGATGAAGCTGCCGGTCAGCAGTTGCCCACAGCTGCAGCCTTCTGAATCATCCAAATAGTTTTTGTGGAGGAATGTTCAAGTTTCATGCAAAATTTGGTGCAGATTTGTTGCTCTATACACTCAGTCATTTTGAATGCGACGGCCACGCCGTACACATGCTCACTGAACAATGTCTACCACCCCCACTGACTAGTACAGTGCAGTTGTCATTGTTCATGTATGCGCATTCCAGCCCACTCTCCTTGGCTGCCAGGTTACATCGACGTCATGCAAACCATCCTTATTATATTAACAATGGCTGGATTTTTTTTCTGGATAGACCTTGTATTAATAATTTAAAAATTATATGTTGTTGGAATTTTTAAAAAAGATTGTATTTATTTTTAGAGAGAAGGCAGGGGAGGGAGAAGGAAAGGGAGAGAAACACTGATGTGAGAGAGAAACATTGATTGGTTGCCTCTCACCCAGTCCAGGGACTGAACCCATAACCCTGGCATGTGCCCTGACCGGGAATTGACCCTGAAACCTTTTGCTTTGTGGGACGATGCCTAGCAGAGTCACACCAGTCAGAGCTTTTGGAATTTTTTTTGTTTAGTTTCTTTTTTAGAGCTGTTTTAGGTTCACAGCAAAATTGAAGGGGAGTTAAAGAGATTTCTCTTACAAATTTCCACACTATCTGAAAGTAGAACGTTCCTATGCTACCTTTCATGAGCTGAAATGGCACAAAGCAAAAAATTACTATTAATTTATATTGAAACGTTTTTGAGTGTTCCCAGACCCAAAAATAACCTACCAAATATCAAGTACCAAATAACACTAACATGCCGTAAAAACAGGAATGATATTATAAATAAATACTATGTTTTATATAACCATCAATCTACTCAAGCAGTAGACTTTCCATTTTATCTATTACTGGATACTGACTAAAAAGACACCCCTTAGCTACTAGCGGAACCAATAGTAACTTTGTCAGCTTTCAAGATTGTTTATCTCTGTGTGTAAATAGTGCACATGATGGAGGCAGGCAAACTCAATGCATACATAATATCTTTATTTCATTTGCCACAATCACAGTGCTTAATTATGTCTAATTTTACTAGACACCCTTGTGAGCTCTCTTAGGCTTTTCTGATAGTTTAGGACACATCTTGCTAACGGATGCACAAAACACGTGGAGATAAAACACATGCTCACAGACACAGGTCAGAGCTCTGGCGGCTGGATGCTGAGTGTAGCTCCCAGGCAAGGAGCCAGGCGATGCCACTCACACCTGCACGCTGCTGGGTGTGGGTTGCCTCTATAAAGGCTTGCTCAAAATAAATTAACTCTTTTTTTTTGCATTTTTTCATAAAAGCAAAAATCCTTTCAGGATTTCTATCGGTTAGCAAAAACTGGTACTAATATAGGCTTTTTATAAAAGTGAAGTGGTGTAAAGTGAACTTTTGAAAAGTGGGGGATCCCTGTATCCCCTGCCTATACATGCACAACTCCCCCCGCCCCCCGCCACCAACACAGTGGGACATTTTTATAATTGATGAGCCTACATTGACATGTGATTACCACCCAAAGTCCATACTTTACATTGGGATCACTCTTGGTGTACATTTTATGGGTTTTGACCAATGTATAATGTCATGTATCCACCATTATAGTATCATACAGAACAGTTCCACTACTTTAAAATGCACATTTAAAAATTATTCTGTTTTCCTGTTCTTTGGAGTTACTGCTGCTTTTCCTCATGCTCCCCATCCTCTTTTTTCAAGGTTAGTTGGCTAACCTGTGATTTTAGAAACTTTTCATATCATAGGTGAGAAAGAACTTTGTTCTAGAAAGGCGAAGTGACGCGTTGGGTGTGGCAGAGCTGGTTCTGGAACCCAGGGGGTTCCTTCAGCAGGTATTCCCTGAGCACCCACTGCGCTGTGGTCCGTCCTAGAAATAACGAAGGTTCAGGAACAAGGCCCCTTCCTCTCAAGAAATTCAGGCTGGTGGGAGACTGAGTATAGAAAACAAGTTATAGTTCAACGTGATAATTTCTCTAATAGAGAGACATACAAAGTGCAGGGAGCATAGGACTGCGTGAGCTTCGCTTGGCGTGGAAAGGCAGGGGAGAATTCACGGAGGGCGGGACCAGGAGCTGAGGGATGCTAACTCGGCTGGAGGGCAGGGCTTTCCGGGCCGAAGGCACCCGCTTCTGCAAGGGCAGGAGACCAAAGGCTTAATACTAGGCTAAGGTCAATTTTCCCACATTAAGGTACAAATTTAGTATAATTCAAAACAAAAATCTTACCAGGATTTTTCACGTGACTTGATAAAATTATTCTGAAATGGGTGAGAATAGCAAAGAAACCAATGAAAAAGGAGAATAATAGAGGCAGCAGAGACACGTGCCCTGCCAAGAATCAAAAGATAAAGTTATATTAATTAAAACTATGTGGTATTTATGTAAGAAGAGGTAAGTGGAACAATAGAAACAATAACAATCCCAAAAATATAGGCTGGGCCCTGGGTAAGGGAACTATAAATGTCTAGGTATAATTGCCAGTCCAGGGCTCATTCAACTACATTTTTCCAGCCTTTATACATATTACCTTTTAAGCTTAGAGAAATGATTACTATGGATATGAACCAAAACAGTTATTTGCAAAGGAAGTGCTTGGTACACGATTATCTGCCTGCACATAAAACCCTACCTGAGGTCTAACATATGCACCTGGAGATTTTGTGCCTCGTGGATTTTTTATTTTTTATTTTAACGCATGAAGAGTAGTAAAGTGTGTGGTGATGTTATAGAAAAATATACTGAAATAAGTGCAGTTTGTATACATTTAGCCAAGTGGCAGTATGTTAAATGTTTATATCAGCAATAACATATGCAAAGAAGGAAAGAAGTAATTCTTTATTTGAAGATCTACAGATATAGGAAAGCTTACGGGGCTTGTAGCTACAATTGTCCCCCTTCTCCTGGGAATCCCTAACCTTGGACAGGATCCTCTTCCATACTCACCAGGACACTCGTGGGGAGGAGCAGCAGCCAGGGGGGCAGCAGGGGAGTGGGGAGAGACGAGGGGGTCAAAGAGAAATGGCTCCTTAAGCTTAGAGCTGTGGAGGAACGGGATGTGGATATAAGGAAATGGAACAGAGCAGATTATGCTTGACCCACCTCAAGTATTTCAGTGATGGACATTAATTTGTCAAATACATTTATTTGTTGTATTTGTGTCCCCTCTAATTATTTTTCCAATATTCATTTCATTTCATTTGTTGTTTATTTTCTTGGTAGATATAGTACATAGAGATCTAAAACTGGAAAACATAATGGTTAAAAGCAGCTTTATTGATGCTAACAATGAAATGAACTTAAACATAAAGGTAAGATATTAGAAATGGTGGTAAATATTCACCCATAAACAGTTTGATAGCCAAGTGGCAAAGCACATCCTCTTTTTAGATACGTTTTGGAAGCTTTGAACAGCCAGAAAATAAGTGACTTGTGCTAAAACAATCAAAATTTCACAAAAGAGGTTGTAACTGACAAGAATAATTTTACAAGTTAAGTGGTGATGTTGAATTTTTTTAAGTACATATTCATTTGGATAGTTCTGAATCATTAGTTAATAGTAAGCAAACAGATGCTCTGAATTCTAATTAAGTTCAAAATTATGCCTTTGATACTAAATGCTAAAGTCTGTATTTCTCACTGAAAATTTTCCTGGGTATTAATATTTATATCCTAAGCAAAATTAATGTGCCAAGTGTTTATTCTTGAAGACTTTATTCAAATTAAGTGTTCCTTAATGTCAAATAAATGATAGGATACATTATTTATTACTTAGCGCTTTACTAGTGCCTGCTTTCAAAACATATGAGTGTGCTAATTTAGGAATAATATGTCTGTGGATAACTCGCTCTGCGGCGATGGTAAACCCCTATCATATAAATAGGGTTAACAGCGTGGCTGCTTTACCTGCATAAGTGTTCCTGAATATTTCCATTGCAAGCTCCGTGCAGGCAGGAATCATGTCTGATTCACTGCTGGTACTTGGAGTAACGCCTGAAACATAGTATGTGCTTAATTAATATTTGGTGAATGAAAGACTAAGTTCTCTCTGTAGAACTGAATTGGATCATGAAACCTTTTGTTTATTTGATACCTGTATAGATTTTTCTGTGGAGAAAGATAGTGTCATAGTACTTAAAGTGGGATAATTGTGAAAGCTGCTGGGGAAATTGATTAATCTGTTTACAAGAAGAGTGATACCACATGTTGACAGGAGCATTTTCTTACTCCGTAAGGCACTGGAAACTTTGCATTCAATGTCTATGGATTACAGCCTATCTTTGGTTGTATGATCAATAAATGTGCCTGTTTTTCTGCTTTCAGCCCAAGGCTGTTCCAACTTGGGAGACAAGACCAAGGGCACATACTGAATATTTAATAACCAAATGTTTAATGACCAAGATTTGGAACTGAGCAGAAAGACTGCAGTTGCAGCTTGCAGCAGGAGGACTCCAGTGCATTTGTAGTTATACTGTATTTTGCCTGTTGTTCCTTGTAATTTCTAGTAATGTAGTCATTGTTTTAATTAGTACACTCCAGAAAACAAAGGAAATAATAAAGATAGTGTTTACCAGAGATAGTGTTTTTAAAATCATTGCAAAAAGGGGAGTTTCTCTCAGTGCTGAGAAGAATAGTGATTTGCATTTATAACAGTGCTTTAAACTGGAACACAACTTGAGTGTCAGAAAATTAGATAATAAACATAATAAGGCCAGAATGTATTTTACAGTGAAAGAACTTCTTAAAAATAACTTTTATTTGAAAAAAATTAAATGTCTTCTCACAAGATGCCACTGCCTATGTTGAACTGGTGAATTTAATTAAGAGGAATGAACAATCAACAGCCTGGGTGTTTTCTCAAGATTTGAGAGGCCAAGCTTCTCTTTACCAAGTTTCTTTTTCACGGTGAGGGGTGGGTGGGGAGGAAAAGCAAGGTCCTTATTAGTAATACAGGTAAAGCCCCTCCATCCTCCAGGATCCCTGAATTAAATGCAATGACAAAATCCTGCCTTCAGAATGAGGGAACTCTAGGACAGGAAAGCAGGTGACCGAGTTTCTTCTTGCAGGTGACTGACTTTGGCTTAGCGGTGAAGAAGCATGGTAGGAGCGAAGCCATGCTGCAGACCACCTGTGGGACGCCTATATACATGGGTGAGTGAGGAGACTTCAGATGATTGATTTTGTATTAAACTGTGGGACACGTGATGGGGATTAAAACTGGAGCCATTTGATTTTGCCATCCTGACTTCCTGGCCCCGATCAAGCTGTTTTTTCTTTTAAGGTCAAATAATTTCAGTTTTAGCATTTTTCTCATAGTTTTTATTTTCAAAAATTGTAGTGTTTATTGTTTCTCTGAGCTCTTCTTTTAGTTGTTATTCCTCTTACGTAACCATACCCCAAACTTCATTATTGTTTTGGTTAATTCATGCTAAAAATCATGTGTTTTGCTTCTTTCCATTTTTTAATTCAATTTTGTTGTCATCAAATAGGTTTTCATTAAGAATACTGATTGAATATATTTGTAAAACAACAATTACCCATTTTTCTAAATGTGATTTTAACAGCTTTACTAAACTATAATTTAAAAACCATAAAAAATGTACCATTCAATGATTTTCCATACCTTCACAGAGTTGTGCAACCATCACTACAATCCAGTTTTAGGAAAATTCTACCCCCAAAAGTTGCCTCATGCCTATTTACACTCAATCTCATGCCCATCCCAGCCCCAGGTAGCCACTAATCTTTTTGTCTGTCTAGATTTGCCTTTTCCGAACATTCCCTGTAAATGGAACAGTATAAGTAGCCTTTTATGTCTGGTTTCTCTCCCTTCGCTTCATGTTTCTGAGGTGTACCCTTGCTGCAGAATGTATCCGCAATCCACTGCGTCCTATTGCTGCGCAGTTGCCCATCGCGTGGGTGTGCCACGATTTGTCTAGCCACTTGTTAGCTGACGGACATGGGGATTATTTCCAGTTTGGAGCTATTATGAGTAATGCTGTTATGAACATTTCATGTGCAAGTTTGTATACGGCCATGTGGTTTTATTTTCTCTTTTTAAAGATTTCACTTATTTATTTTTTAGAGAGAGGGGAAAGGAGGGAGAAAGTGAGGGAGAGAAACGTGTGTGAGAGGAACATAAATTGGTTGCCTCTTCAGTGCCCCCAGTGGGGGACCTGGCTCACAATCCAGGCATGTACCTTGACTGGGAATCAAACTGGCCACTTTTCAGTCGGAAGGCCGACACTCAATCTACTGAGCCATACTAGCCAGGGCTATATGGTTTTATTTTCTTCGTGTAGCTACCTAGGAATGAAATCACTGGGTCATATATTATTTATGTTTAAATGTTTAAGAAACTGCCAAATGATTTTCCATAGTGGCTGTAACATTTAACCTTTCTACTAGCAACGTATGGGAGTTTCAGTCTCTTCACATCCTGCTGACACTTGGAATTGCCTTTTTAAATTACAGCTACTCTAGTGGGTACGAAGTAATATCTCATTGTGGTTTTAATTTGCATTACCCTAATGACCAGTGATGTTGAGCATTTTTTCATGTACTTATTATTTATATATCTACTCTGATGATGTGTTTATTCAAATCGGTACCTATTGAGATAATCATGCATTTTAAATTTATTAATGAAGTAATTACATTACTGGGTTTTTAAAATGTTGAACCATCCTTGCACTTGGGTTAATATACTGCTGTATTCAATTTGTCACCACTTTATTCAGTAGCTATGAGTGTAACTTTCTTTTGTGCTGCCTTTGTCTTTTTTGATGTTAGTGTTATGCTAGCCTCTTTTATTTTACTTTATTTATTTTAATAGTTTATTTTTATTGTATTTTTTCCATTACCATTTATCCCCCTTATACTCTCTTCCACCTCCACCCACACCTTCTGCATCTGCAATCACCCACTGTTGTCCATGACCCTGAGCCCTTGTTCTTTTTTGCTCCAGTCCTCCACCCCAGCCCTCCCCCGGCCCGAGCTGTCAGCCTGCTCTCCATCTATGAGTCTGTCTCTATTTGGCCTGTTAGTTCAGTTTGTTCATTAGATTCCACATGTGAGTGAAATCATATGGTATTTGTCTTTCTATGACTGGCTTATTTCACTTAGCACAATGTTCTCCAGGTCCATCCATGCTGTCACAAAGGGTAAAATTTTCTTCTTCTTCTTTTTTTTTTTTACGGCCAAGTAGAATTCCATTGTCTTTTTTGATGTTAGGGTTATGCTAGCCTCCTTTAAAAACTAAAACGTTTTCACTCTTTATGTGCTCATGAGCCATTTAAGAAGTAGAAAGTATTTATTCATTAATTTGATGAAATTTCCTTTTAAAATATTTTGGTCCTGGTACCCTTTGGGGAATGAAGTTCCTATTATATCTTCAATTTATTCTAGGTTATTCAAGTTTTTTCACATCTTTTTGAATCATTTTTATAATTTTTTTAGAAAATTGTTTATTACATTCAGATTTTACATTTTATTGACATTAATATGTAAATATATTCACTTATAATTTTCACAATTTCCTGCATATTTGTGATTATATCCTCCTATTGATTCCTAATATTTTTTAAGAAGGTGGTTTGATGTAATATTGGTAATATGGCCTCTAGCATCACCCGAATAACTCAGGATTGCAGCCCTGTCACTTACTATCTGATTAATCTGAGGCAAACAATGGCTTTTGTCATGATTTCTGGATCATGTAATAGGGATTCTTTCACTCATTTATCAAAATGTTTTTGAGGAGCATCTTTGTGTCAGGCACTGGTTGAGATACTGGGACTACTGCAGTGAACAAAACATAAAAATGTCACATTGGCAAAAATACTAAACAAGATGAAGACATAAAATGTCAGGTATATTAAAGAGAAGTGCTAAGGGAGAAAAATAAAAAGGGAAGGGGAAAGGACATATTTAGGATGGTAACAATAATATCTGATTGAAGTGAGAATTAAATGGGAAAATATATGTAAAGTGATTAGCGCAGTGCCTGGCACTGGGAGCTCAGTATTAGTTCTTTTAATATACTAATCATTGTTTTTGTGATCATATTTGTTAGTGGTTAGGCCACTTTATTGAGATTTCAAAGAACTGGCTCAATGCTAATGTTATTTAGTTTGCCTTTTCATTTTTTCTGCTTTACTCTTTCTGAATTCCTTTTTTTTCTACTTTTGGTTTATTTTTTAACTTTCTAGGCTATATGTTTATTTTCAGTCTTCTTATTTTCTAATAAATGCATTTAAGGTTATATATTTTCCTCTGAGTACCTCTTTGACCATTTCTTTTGCTATATACAGTGTCCATGTTATACAGACTATTTCTTAATGTCTATAACTTTGGTTTTAGTCTTCTTCTTTAGTTCAAGATTTGCTTATAAGTGCTTTCAGAATTTTCTAGTTGGTTACGATGTATTTGCTGTTCATGTGGATGTGTGTTAGTGTTCCTAGCCTTTGGTTTTTCTGTCTGGCTTTCTTCATTTTAGTAGGCAATTGTGACTTAAAGCTTTACCAACTTTTAGGAATTTTCTTTATGATTGAACACATGATTTATTTCCATAAATGTTGCATTGAGTATTTAGAAGTATGTATATTCCTGGTTCGTTACGCATAAAAATTTCTCTGTGTTTGTGTTTATAAAATCAAATGTGATACCTTTGTGATTTAAACTTTCCAAATTGTTAATTTAATTTTTCTTGTTGCTTCTCTTGATTTCTAAAATAGAACATTTTTAAAGTCACCCATAAGATAGGGGGTTTATGAAATTCTTTTTGTACTTTTAGTAGATTTATTAAAAAATCTACTTTACTGAAATACAATTTACATACAATAAAATGTACAAATATTAAGTGTAAAATTCAACAAGCTTTGAGAAATGCATATACTTGTATAATCACAAACCCAATGGAGATACGGAACATCTCTGTCACTCCAGACAGTTTCTTTGTGTCCCTCTCAGTCAATCCCCGATCCAGACCCCAACAACCACTAATGATTTCTACCATTATAGCTTAGTGTCGCTTGTCTAGAACTTCATTTAAGTTGAATAATACAGTATATATTCTTTTGTCTGTTTTCCTCTGTTCCATGTAATGATTTTAGACATATTAGTAGTTTGTTCGTTTTCTTTTTCTTTCTTTCTTTCTCTTTCTTTCTTTCTTTCTTTCTTTCTTTCTTTCTTTCTTTCTTTCTCTCTCTCTCTCTCCTCCCCCCCCCTCTTCTTTCTTTCTTTCTTTCTTTCTTTCTTTCTTTCTTTCTTTCTTTCTTCCTACCTTTCTTTTTCTTTCTTTTCTGAGGATTATACTGAGTTCATTCTTTTGTTTTGTTTTGTTTTTTTGCCTACTTGATGCATAAAGTTTCAAAATTGTTTTATCTTATTTGGGAAAAGGCTACTTTAGATTCTGTTCATATCCTTCTGTTGGCAAGAGACATCTGGTCTGTAGTTATATGGGGAAAATATAGCCAAGCACCCTGAGTTTCATGCCTGCTTATTAGTTGTCTACCCTGATAACAAGTGAGAGAACAAGAAAGAAGACAGATGGTTTGTGGAGCTTTGCTGACTTCCTAAATGGCTCCTTGGCACAGCTTTCTTGGCCTCTGCCTCCCTCTGAGAGCTGTGATGGCAGCAGCGCAGTAGAAATGCCCCTGATAATTACGGTGACTCTCAGAGTGAGGGGCGGGAACTGGGCCCCCGCTGTATGTTTGTATCACACCTCTACAGAGATTCTTCATGGAATATAATCCCAGAATTTGCCCTCATCATAGACATGCAACTGTAGAGCAAAATGAACTTTAACAGTTCCATGTTTAAACGGTTTAAGTAGAGTTGAAGAATACAAGTAGTTGCTTAAAGGAAAATATCAATCAGTTAATCAATAATTTGGAGATGAATTATTCAGTTTGTAAATTATCTATAGTAGAGCCTTTATTCATTCTTTCTTCCATTTACTGTTTAACTTTTTTGTTGCTTTTTAGCTTCTTTAATGATATGAAGAGGAAATGAAATTCCATTTGCTTTCAGTAGTCATGAAAGGGGTATGTGTGTGAGGGGGCAGAGATTGAAACTATTTCCTAAAATAAAGTCAGTTTTTCCCTGACTGATGTGGCTCAGTTTGTTGAAACATTGTTCCCACAAAGTGAAAGGTCGATGGTTCAGTTCCTGGTCAAGGCACATGCCTCGGTTGTGGGTTCGGTCCTTCGTTGGGGTGTGAAGGAGAGGCAACCGAGTGATGTTTCTCTGTCACATGGATGTTTCTCTCCCACATGGATATTTCTCTCCCTCTCCGTCTCCCTCTTTTCACTTCAGTCTAAAAATAAATAAATAAATAAATGAAATCTTAAAAATAGAACAGTTTTGTAACTTTAGGCAAGTCACTTAATATATCTGAACCTTAGTTCCCTCACTGGCAAAGTCAGTCAAATGCTTACATATCTATCTCACAAGATCCTTAACATTTAAACAAGTAACGTAATGTATACAAAAGTACTTTGTAAATGTTAAAGTGCTAATGATACCTATATATATATATTTTATTTTCACGTTTACAACTGTTCTATTCTTCCTTTTTCCTTAAAGATATTTGATTCCTTGCTGTAGAGGTATAATAGACATATTTCTGAAATATCATATGTGACTTTCTTAAAAGCCAGCATTACAAAAAATCTAATCATTAAAAAATGTGCTACCTTAAAGTTAAAAAAAAAAGTTCTACTTTGAAAAATTGTTTAAAGGAACCCTGTCGTGAACACGTTGTACAGTGAGAAGCGCAGAGTTGGGGAGTGGAGAGGGAGCTGTGCCTCATTGGCTCTTTGATCCAGTTGTGTTGTGGGAGCTCTCTCTTTGTATCTATTGTCTCATTTAGAAAACGTGGAAAATAATTCATATTCTGTCATAGGAGTGCTGTGATGTTATTATTTTACTAAAGTGATTTATAATGATTTATCTTAGTTTTTCTGTGAATCCAGATTTCCACATATTGGGCTTGCCTTAAATTACATCCACTTAAGGCATGTATTTAATTCTATTTTTGGAAAAGAACTGAGATACTGTTGTCTTCTACTATAACTACACAATCTTTGCAAAATCATTTCTTAACAATTCCAAAGGAATGAAGAGGAGCCGTGCATTTAGTTACACAGTTGGTGCCATCGTTCCTTTAGAAGCTAAATGACAGGAGTGAGGATGCAGTGACATCAATTGTTAAGGCCTGTACATTATTCATTTAACATCTGCTGTTGGTTCTCATTTTCCCTGTGGGGGAATAAATTACAGCACATCAGCACATTTTTCATGCTTTGTGTTTAAGCATTTAAAAGTCATTTATTGTATTATTAATACTATTTTATTTCTGCTTGTTTGGCAGCCCCTGAAGTTATCAATGCCCATGACTACAGCCAGCAGTGCGACATTTGGAGCATAGGTGTCATAATGTACACTTTGTAAGTAGCTTGCTAAATGTACAGTTTAAAATGAATGGTTTCTAACAGAATCATCTAGATTTTAAGTTAAAACTAAACATATGTAGTTTTAAAACTAAAAAAACTATATGTAAATATAGTTTTTAAAAAATGACTGAAAAAAACAATTGGGAGGTCACTCTAAAAGTTCTCTTACTAGGTGTCAGATAGTTATTTTAGATATTTTTAAAAATCATTTATTTATTTATTTATTTATTTTTAGAGAGAGAAGGGAGGGAGGAAGAGAGGGACAGAAGCATTGATTGATTGCTTAACACCCACAACTGTGGACCTGGCCCACATCCCAGGCACGTGCCCTGACAGGGAATCGAACCCGTGACTTTTTGGTTCTCAGGCTGGTGCTCAATCCACTGAGCCACACTAGCTAGGACAGGTATTTTTTTAATACTATAAATTTATAACTTTCAGCTTTGCTTTTTATTAATCTGCTCCAATGCACTGTATGATGGGGTGAGCATAGTGAAAAACTTGCCATAAAACTCCCCTGATCCTTTGCTACAAACGAAGCTTCTTTGTATTTTCTCCAGAGATTTAGTGAGAGTCCATCAGGTAGAGAGGAGTCCTGGGATCAGACACTAGAGCTGCCCTGTGGACAGGGCAGGTGTGATGATTGGGTACCGGCCCAGCTGAGGTTCAGCCCAGTGTACCTGTATTGCTTGCCTCTGGGTCTTTGCTCATGCAGTTCCTTCTGCTTAGAATGTTCCTTCTTCTCTACTAACCTCTCTCCAGGATATGCCGAGGTCAGACATTAACATCTTGTATTTTGCAAATTCCTACTGTACCACAGCAGAGTTACTATGTTCATTACATGTACTTTCCCAGAGGATTTATGGCAACATACAGAAATGCATGCAAAACAGTAACATTGAAAGAAAAACAAAATAATAAGAATATTTAACCAGGAAGGTTTGCATGTGTGTGAATTTTATAGAATTAATTGTTCACTTCTCCATGTTCTCAGCACTTTCAAAAACTAGATTATAATATTGTAATATAATTCTTGCATTATGTGTATTGTATCTATTTTCCTTGCTCTAAATTCCATGAAGGACAGACATCTTATTCATTTTTACATCCCTGACATCAGGTACAATAGTAGGCATGTAGTCAGTGCTCAATATGGTTGTTAATTGAATTAAAATGAATTTTGTAAGAGGTGATCTGAAAAGTTAGGGACCATTGTTCTTCCTCTTGATGAATATGAACATTTTTATGTTGATGCAACATTAGTTTTAATATGATTATATTAAAGATTTCACTGTGTACTACCTCTTTCTAAATATTGACATCACAACAGTTACATTTTTGTAGTTTTGTGAAATGGAATACACAAGCAGTGGAAATTGGATGATGTGATTATAGCTGTAACTCAGATAGTCAACATACATTAACTGCTTAGATTACATGAAGTATAGATGTAGTCACAAAGTTTTGATCATTGTTTTGTGTTAGTTAGAATCATACTGTAAAAAGTCTGAGCCTTAGTCTTTAATTTAAAATATAACCATTTTAACTTAGTGTTTTATATTCTTAAGATTTTCTTTTTTTAACATTTTTTTAAAATTTACAAATCATGTTTTTCTATTACAGTTGTCTCAGTTTTTACCCCTTTAAGCTCCCACCCATCCCACCCCCACCCCTGCCCCCACCCCCACTCCCACAGTCAGTCCCCACTCTGTTGTCCATGTCCATGGGTCACACACACATGTTCTTTGTCTAGTGCCTTCCCCTTCTTTCCACCATTGTCCTCTTTCCCCATCCCCTCTGGTCACTTTCAGTCTGCTCCATATTTTCATGCCTGTGGTTTATTTTGTTCATTAGTTTATTTTGTTGAATAGAGTCCACTCATAGGTGAGATCATATGGTATTTGTCTTTCATCAACTGGCTTATTTCACTTAGCTTAATATTCTCCAGTTCCATCCATGTTGTCGCAAAAGGTAGGAGTTCATTTTCTCTCTTTCTTTCTTTCGTTCTTTCCTTCTTTCTTAAATGCAGATTGATTTTATTTATTTCTTTAAATGTCAAAGTTAATTATAAAATATTTAAAAAATTTAAAACCATTATAAAGTCTCAGCAATTAAACCAACATGACAGCAGCACAGAAATAATCAAGTAGATCAATGAAATATAATGAGCATTCTAGAGGCAAACGTATATATCTGTCTAACAATGTAATATATGCTTAAGTTGATATTTCAAATCAATGGGGAAAATAAGGCTTATTCAACAGATAAGGTGCATAGACCACTATTACTTGAAATAAAACAAATATAGAGCCCTATTTCACACATTATACAAGAAATATTCAGGTGAGTTAAAAATCAATATGTAGAATCTAAGGAGTTTTAGAAGAAAATAGAACTAATATTTTTCATGACCTGAAGTAAAATATTCAAACCCAGAAGCTATAAAGTAAATACTGACTAAACATTTAAGACTGTATAGTAATATACATATAAAAAAAGTTAAAGGACAAGGAATAGAATAGAAAAGTATTTGCAACACATCTAAAACATGGTTAATAGGGGTTTTTTTTTGGTTTTGTTTTATTTTTAGGGAAAAAAGTTCTACAAACCTTTAATCAATAAATGGATAAAGAATGCCAAAAAGTCATTTAAAGCTTTTTAAAATTAATATAAATAGGCAAGAAATATACAAAAACAGGTTTAGTTTCAACAAATAGTAAAGGAACAATTAAAATATCATTGTCACAATCAGATTAATGAGTATTAAAAATATTGGTAATATCAAGTATTGACAACTCTGAAAGGAACTAGGTATTCGTAAAAACTTTTTCTCCATCTTAAAGCAGTCTCTTTAGCATATTTTGCAGTGCTGGTTGGGTGGAGGTGTATTCTTTTAGCCTTCTTTTGTCTGGGAAACTCCTTATTTTGCCTTCCATTTTAATTGAGAGCCTTGCTGGGTAGAGCAGTCTTGGTTGCAGACCTTTGCTTGTCATGACTTGGAATATTTCTTGCCATTCCCTTCTGGCTTGCAGTGTTTCTGTTGAGAAGTCACCTGCTAGCCGTATTGGGGCTCCCTTATGTGTTACTACCTCTTTCTCCCTTGCTTGCTTTAGGATTCTCTGTTTGTCTTTGATATTTGCCATTGTAATGATGATGTGTCTTATAGTGGGCCTCATTGGGTTCCTCTTGAATGGGATCGATCCTCTGTGCTTCCTGGACTTGTGTGGCTTTTTCTCTCCTCCAATTAGGGAAGTTTGCCATCATTACTTTTTCAAACAGGTTCTCTATCCCTTCCTCATCCTCTTCTCCTTCTGGTATCCCTATTATATGGATATTATTACATTTCAACAAATGTCCTGTATTTCTCTCAATGCTGCTTCATTCTTTTTGAGCCTTCTTTCATTTTCTTGCTCTTTCTGGGAGCTTTTTTCTACCTTGTCCTCTAGCTCTGATTTGGTCCTCAGCTTCATCGAGCCTGCTTTGGATTCCTTCTACTGTGTTCTTCGATTCAGAAATTGTATTCCTCATTTCCTCTTGTCTCTTATTGATAGTTTCTATGTCCTTTTTCATGCTGATATAGTTTGCAGTAAGTTCCTTATAGTTTCCCTGCAGTTTTTTGTAATTTTCTCTCAGCTCATTAAGCTCTTTGAGCTTCTTTGGAACCGTTGTTTTGAACTCAATATCTGATAGTTTACTTGCCTCTATTTCATTTAGTTCTCTTTGCAGGGATTCCTCCTTTCCCTTCAAGTGGGGTATATTTCGTTGTCTTCCCATTATTTGTGAGACTCTTCTTTTTGGCTTCTGCTTCTTAAGTTGATCTGTCTTGATTTCCTGACTTTGTCGTGTGAACTTCTATGGTAGGAGACTGCTGTTTTTACTTTCTGGATCTGCCTCTGATGATGTCAGATGTCGACCCTGTCTGACCTTAGGCAGTCTGTTTGAGACTTCCAGTAATCTACTGTTTGTGGCTGTCTTCTTCAGCTATTAATCTAGTCACTCTGCACTCAGCAGGCCAGCTTAGACAGCTCAGAGCGGGGTGGAGTCCCTCCTGGGGACGGGGTTATTGGGTCCTCTTATACAGCTGCTGCCATATGGTGGAGGAGTCCACACTGGGATCCTGCCAGCTACTCTCTCCATTTTCTCCCCAAAGCCTCCATCCCTAGTCTCTCCTCAAGTGTCACCAGACCTCTCTGCACCCTCTTTAGCCAGGGATCTACTCTCTGTGGCTGCCACTCTGCACTAAGCAGGTAGCTTAGACAGCACAGGGTAGGGTGGAATCTCGCCTGGGGGCAGGGCTATTGGGTCCTTTGATGCCCTTCTTGTTACGCTCTTTGGTGCTGTTCAGGGGGAGTGGTCTCTGCCTGAGGAAGACGGCTGCTGCTGCATGGGGGGACTCATCAGTCAGCACCGGGATCCTGCCGGCTACTCACTCAATTCTCTCCCCAAAGTCTCCTTCCTCAGTCTCTCCTTAGGGTCTCTAGCCCACTCTGCCCCCGCCTTTGCTGGAGACCACAGTAAGTGGCTGCAAAAAAATAAAAAATAAAAATTTATGCGTTGGCCCTTTAAACAGTTGTTTGCGTCTCCAGCTGCCTGTCTCTGGCAGAGAGCAACCCTGCCGCTTTTCGCAGCTGGCTGTTTTCTGTGTACTTTTTGGGCTCTGATGTTGTGGGCGAGAGATCCCTGCTTTCGGTTTAGACCCCGCTCTTCTCAGGGGGCTCCAACTAGCCATTTCAGTACCCTTCTGGTGCTGCCACCCATAGGTGCCCTGCCTGCCTTCTCGAGTCTCTACCGCACTCCCTACCAATTAGATTGTGCTAAAGCCGATTCTTCTGTCTCTGAGGTTACAAGGCTCCTCTCTCGCTATTGTTCAGTTGTTTATTCGAGGTGATTTCTCCACAATTTAGTTATAATTCCAGGTTGGTCCTGGGAGGAGGTCAGTGTGACTTCCACACGCTCCTCCACCATCTTGAAAACCCTGTCTTAAGACTTTCTAGACAACAAAAGTCAAACATATGTGTAATCTAATATTAGATAATTCATTTGTTTGCTGTCTTCTTAGTTTTGAATTTGATGTTAAGGAAAATGATAGTGTATTAATAGATTAAATTTTTTCTCTTTTTTGAAGATACCATTTTAATTTTCTTTTTCAGAGCATGGCTGCATATCATCACAAATGACATTGTTTTTTTCTTCACAGTAGACTCTTACTTAGCTAATCAGTGCCTATTCATTAATCTGCCTGAGCCCAGTGATCTTAGATAATTTCCTTCACCAAGGGTGCAAACATATTACCTTCTCCAGGGGGGTTATTTTCTTGTTTATCAGTTACTCCTGATTTATTTCTACTTAATTGGACAATGATAACTTTCTTTCTCAAGGTGAGATTAACATAAATACTCTTTATGGGTATATCCTCTGCTTTTTTGATTCCTGTGAATGCAACAGAAAATAATAGGAGAGCATTAAGAGGCATTTTTCATGTCTTGGATTTCCTTTTCTGGATGTGCAGAAAATTGCTATCATAAAATTTCACATGCTGCTGATTGACCAGCCATTAGATACATTCTTGTGTAAGTAAAATTGCAAAGGACAGAAAAAAAATGTGGAATTTTAAAAACCTAGCCCTTAAGCTATAGTTGCATTCTAGTCAGGCAATGCAGGAGCAGCTAAGAAAGTGGTAAATGTGCATGTCACTGGTTATTAGCAGACTCAATGAGCTGGGCTTTTGCTGGCCCATACTTGTTACAATAGATAGTGATTGTCCATAAGACCATTTTTCCGGCTTTTAAAAGTTGCATTTTAAAAGTAAATAGCAGTGAGGGAAGTAAGATCAGAGAAAGGAGGTTCAGAATGAACTGGAGATGTTAAAAAGTATTAAAATAAGAGCTTGCCGAGCAATGGGGTAAATATCCATCTCTTAACAAGGACCTGTTGGTAACTGAAAAGCTATATTGTCCAGCCTAGTTTGATAAACTATTAGGATGAAAACAAGTTTTTCCCCTAGGAAAATCATCATCATTTTCATTCAAAATATTTAGTAAATTTAGACTTATCCAAAAACTGTTTGTGGGAAAGACTTTTAAAGAATTTAAAAGTATATCTAAAAAATATCAGTAGAAATGTTAAGAGACTTAGAGATCATTACACTTAAGTACATAATAGACCAGCATTTGGGAAGAATAATGGAATTGTGCCATTTTATTCTTTCAGCAATAAAGTGGAAAAAATATAATCTGAAGAGCTGAAGAATAGACAGACATACAGAGTTGCCTCTGTGATGAGCCCGGGTCTGACTTCTGTGTGGTTGTCACTGGGAAAACCTGGTTGTGTATTCAGGGTTGCTTTCAGAAGGCGGGGTTGGCAGTGATGATGATGGCCAACATTTGTTGACAATGGACTATGAAGGCCTGAACTCAACTTTTCAGCATGTTTTTGTAGTTTTGGACCGGGTTATCTACTGAAGCATAGGCTCGCCATGCTCTTTGTTAAGTATAGTATAGTTTTTCCTTTTAAAAAATTCCAATGACACATAGTTCCTATATTCTAGAATATGCAGACAAGCTTATGTTTATACGTACGGCTCATGGTTTTACTGGTGTTGGTCATTATGTGTGCTCACCCTTTCAGATTGAAGTGTCAAATCATCATCATTTGATTTTTCTCATCCAGACCTTCTTCATTTTGTATACTATTTTGAAAAGTTGTGATCATTTTAATGAATTTTTTTTAGCTTTGACTCAGAGACTGTAGCTGTTTCCTGGGTTATTCTTGGTGTAGTCTTACTAACATTTGTATAGTATTTTACCATAGATAAAACTCTTACGTGGTCATTTAGACTCTGATAACTCTCATTAGACTCTGATAATTCAGTGTATTTTTCCATAAGTTTAGTTCAGATTATGTGCCTTTAGCATTACATTACCCTTGCTCACAATAAAGTATATTTGCTCTTTTATCTGCAGCTATCACTGTGTGCACACCTTCCTGTATTTTAACCCCAGTTAAGCTTAGTGTTTCTCCGCCTGAAAGAGCTTTGGGTCATTTGCAGATCTGGAGGTTTCAGTAACAGGGGTGTCCGAGCTTTTGGCCTCTTGGGGCTGCACTGGAAGAAGAAGAGGTGTCTTGGGTCACACACATTACATATACAAACAGTAACAAAAACTGATGAGCGAAGAAGAGTTTTAAGTAAATTTACAATTTTGTGTTGGGCTGCATTCATAGCCATCCTGGGCCACATGCGGGCCATGGATTGGACACCCCTGGTTCAAGTATAAGAGCCTAGCACTGATCTCACACTGCCCCTTTGCTTCCATTTCTACATCCAGAGAGGTACTCACCTTCTCCTGTGTGTATGTTACACGCCATTGAGTTGGCTCCGACTCTTGGACACTCTATGAATGAATGATGTCCATGATATCCTGTCATCATCAGCCCTGCTCAGCTCCTGTAGACTCATGCCTGTGGCTTCTTTTAAAAAAATTTTTTTTTATTGTGTTTTATTCCATTATCACTTAGTCCCCTTGTACCCTCTCCCACTGAAATCACTACAGTGTTGTCCTTGAGTCCTTTTTCCTTTGTGCTCAATCCCTCCACCCCTTAACCTTCTCGCATCTTAGCTGTCATCCTGCTTTCTGTCTATGAGACTGTCTTTTCTAAAGAACCCTGCCTTCTCATGATGTGCCCCTAGTAGGACAGCTTCAGTTTTGTCATTTAGCCTTCAGCTATGTATCAGGCTTAATTTTCTCTAGGACCCATTGGCTCTTCTTTCTGGCAGTCCGGGGTATCCATAGAGGTCTTGTCCAACATCATATCTCAAATGAATGTTTGTTTTTTTTCCTATTAGCCTTCTCCACTGTCCAACTTTCACATCTGGGCATAGTAATTGGGAATATGAGGGCGTGGATGAGCTTAGCCTTGGTCTCTAATGACACATCTTCTTTGCTCTTGATGGTCTTTCCCAATTCTTACATTTCTGCCCTTTCAAGTCTCATTGTCTTCTCTCTTTTTTTAAAAAAGAGATATTATTTATTTTTACAGAGAGGGGAAGGGAGGACGAAGGAGGAGAGAAACATAAGTGGGTTGCCTCTCACATGCCCCCAGCCAAGGGCCTTGTTCACAACCCAGGCTTGTGCCCTGACTGGCAATCGAACCAGTAGCCTGCAGTTTGCAGGGTGATGACCAGCCCACTGATTCACACCAGTCAGGGCTCAAGTCTCAGTCTTCTCTTGATTTCTTGGCTGCAGTCTCCATTTTTATCTTTTATTTACTTAATTTTTTATTTGTATTGAATTTATTAGGGTGACATTGGTTAATAAAATTATATAGGTTCCAGGTATAGTCTCCATTTGAATTGGTGACTGAACCAAGGTAAGCAACAATACAAAGATGCAAGGAAAATAAGACCAGCAACACTGAAAGGAAAAGAAACCAACAGAGACAAGAGGGAAGGAGGGGGGGGGGCGGGGAAAAGGAAGGGAAGGGGAAAGTCAAGGAACATATAGCAAGGACTCATGGACAAAACCAAAGGGGAAGAGCTGAGGGAGGGAGGGAAGGAGGGGGCAAGGGAAAGTGGTGGGGGGTAGGCAGAGACAAATGTATTTGAAAAAATAAGTTAAAAAAAATCTTTAACAGTTTCAGTGTCTTCATTTCTATCCTTCTTCCTGTCCTTTACATAAATATCACTACTTCCAAGTCCTGTGGAAACTTAATTTTTAATAGCCTTATTTTTAAAAATATCTAAAGAAAATTATTGCCTTTTTTATAGATTATGTGGAGAACCACCCTTTATAGCAAGCTCAGAAGAGAAGCTTTTTGAGTTAATAAGAAAGGGAGAACTACATTTCGATGATCCAGTGTGGGATTCCATAAGTGATTGTGGTAATATGAATTTGTTATTATTTACTAAAGCAAATATACATAATATAAGAAGGTTTGCTGGTAATTCAGATGTAAAATCTCCGTTTAGGCTTGAAATTTACTTGTAGAAATAATACTATTTACTTGTGGAAATAGTGATATCTTCACTATGATTTTTTAGTCAAAACTTCAAACCAAAACGGAAAATACATAATAAAAGTTGAAGAGGAAATGTGCTGATTTTCTAGTTCATTTTTACTGTAGAAATAAATCAGGTAATCCAGAATATAATCAGGTAATTAGGTAATTTTTATTTTATAAAAATAAAACCTCACTGTAGGCCTTAAACTTTATTTCTTAGCCATTTATACTGATGATATTTATTTTATAATTGGTGTCTTTCCTCATGTCATACAGACCTAATTCTTAATAAATTAGAAATTATGTTATTAATTGTAGTTAAGATAAGTAAGATATTTAGGATATTCCTTTATTTGCAGCCAAAAGTGTTTTGAAACAACTTATGAAAGTAGATCCTGCTCACAGAATCACAGCTAAAGAACTACTAGATAACCAGTGGTTAACAGTAAGTAGCTGTATTATGATATTTCTTTTGTTGTTGTTGTTGACATTCTACCCTTGCTTATTTCTTTTCATTTGCCCTTATAGCTTATATATAGTTTTTATTTAAAAAACAGCCAATTTCTGTCATCTTGTGACAAGTTATAAAAAAATTATTGAGTCTTGACACATTTCTGAAATGGATATTTTCATACTTAGCCTAAATAATATGGAACACATAAGTCACCACCCTGTATAAAATACTAGATATGCTAAGTGTGAGGTCCCTGTGTGCCATCCACATAGATCAAATATTGAATGTATGGGCCTGGAGCTGGAAAAGCCTGAGCAGAAACTATAAATCTGGGAATCGGGAGTAGATAGATGCCATAAAAAGCTATTAAACTGAAGAGATAAACTAGGAAGAAAATACAGACAGAAAGGAAAAGAGACCCAGCACCCTGCTTTTAGATACTACAACGTTTACTAGAGGAGAAGCTAGCAATGGAGGCAGAGAAGGAGTAGCTGATGAGAGAGGAGGAAAATTGTGAGAGTGCTGCCAGGAAAGTTAAGTGAGAAAAATGTTTGAGAAAGTGAGAGCAGTCAGCTCCCAGGTAAAGGCTGCAAAGAGGTCAAGATGAGAATGAGGAGTTTCCATTAGGCCGGCCAGCAGCGAGGCGGATGGCGACCCTGAAGGCCTGGGGAAGTTTAGATTCTATAAATTTAGAGTGATATCACTCTTCTTTTAAATTTTCTAATTTTCACTTGGCGATTTCTAATCATTTCTTTGAGTAATATTTTTTTTTCCCCAAGGCTAAAAAAAATAGCCTTCACTCAAAAGTGGCTTCTATCTGCCCTCTTATGAATGTGTTGATCTCTCAAATCATTCTGTGCAATAAGTATTTCTGGCCTAAAGTAATTGTGCAAATGAGCTAGCAGCTAGATAGATCATTGCAAAACTGTACTGAGTAGATTTGTACAGCAAAATCAAAAACTGTAAAACAGATGGTGTGCCTTAGAAATCTCTCTCTTTTCAGCATCACACAACATTCGGGTTTGGCCATGTAATTATTTGTGTTCTAATTAGTACAGCTTTATTTCTGGCTTTGGTCATTTTTCCAGAAGTCTCCCTTTTTGAGCCTCCATAACATTTGTTTCCATGTAGTCTTTGCCAAATGGATCAAGACATGACAGATATAGCGTGTACTATATCAGACTATCCTAAGGAGTTCAGTGTGTGAAGTTTAGAATACCGGCATTTTATAAACTTCTAAAAGGCAAAGCTCTTTTCTTCTTAACCACTTGAAGTCTTACTTCATATCCTCTGTTTGAAATAACCTAAAGGGAACATGTTAGTTCTCTCAGTGCCTTGCTGCTTTATAACCAGAGCTTATCTTTTGCAATATCTAACACACAGTAACATTTTTTTTTTCAAAGAGCTTTATTGGATAAAAAGTTTCTAGGGTTTAACCTATGTATTGTCCATTTTGAAATACGGTACATATCTGAAGAGTATTCTGTGTAAATTTAAGTGAATGGAACTTCAAATAAACACATGTATTGTCATTCCAATTTCAAAAGTCAAAAGATTAGATGGAAGGAAAAATAACCAAGAAATGGCTTTCCTACAAGGAAGAGTGTGACGGTGGACTCGCATTGCCCGGAGAGGCCTGTTACCCCTCTGTATCCGTTTCTTCCCTTTGTCCTCTTTACTCTCAGCGGCAATTTAGGAGTTTATTCCTTTTTATTAGATAAATACGGTTGTGTCTTGGTATTCTGGTGACAACTAACACCAAGAATTTGCATTTTAAAGTTTCCCAGGTATTTTTAATGCCTACTTATATTTATAAACTCTGTTATAAATTAATGAAATATTTTTCTTCTATGGCTTGTCAAGAAATGGTTTCTAGATTTCATCTCTATTGACATTATTCAGACATTCAGTAATTCCTTTTTTGGTGCCTACCATGTGCCAGGTCCTGTGCTAGGTGATAAAATGTAGTTCTCAACATATAGGACATGGTCTCTGACAGAAGGAACTGACAGTCTCGTAAGGGAGGCGTGCTATGTGTAAGATACAATGCAAGGGAGAAAATGATAAATGACCTAAGAAATTGCCAAATGACCAGAGGTGCAGAGGCAAGCAAGTGTGAAATCAGGAAGTTCAATTTGACTGGCAGATTAAGATGCTTGAAGGAAAGAAGTGGGAAATGAGACTTTTAGAAAAGGAAAGAAAATTGTGTGGGGGACTTGAATCTCAGGCTAGATAGAATTTTAACTTCCTTTCATAAATAGTGGAGACCAATTATAGGCTCTTTGAAATGAAGAAAATTATTGTTATAGTGTATAAGCCTTGCAAGGTGGCTTATTTTAAATGGGACAAGAGCCATTTAAAAGTCTATATTGATTTTAACAAGTATCTTTTTATTTAAACCATTGGACACTAAAGAGGTACAAAGATGAATAAAACACAGTCTCTCCCCTGGAGTAATTTACCACAGATTACCGTGTACTTTGCTTTATAGTCACACTTTGCAAAGGCATATATACTCAAGGTGTCTAGGGTCTAATTTCTAGAACAATGTGTCCTAATGTGTGAACAAGACCCTTCCTTGTTCATTAATCCAAAAATTGTTATTCATGGTTTGGTCATCAGCTTTTGACCTTTAGCCTTAACATATATACTCTACATAAGCAAATGGAAATTTTCTGATGCCTAATTGATGGGTAGTTTTTTTCCTACTGTATATTTTCATCCTAAATATATTTATATTCAACCTTTATTTTACTATATTTAGTTATTCTGAATTATGTTATATATATGAATATGCTGTTGAGGCCCTTTTTAAAAGGTTTTTATAAAAATTATGTTAAGAAAAATCTCATGAGCCAGAAACCTTGGGGATTTATTCAATATTCAATGATTGATATATACTTAATAAGTCAACAAATCTTCATTGAGTAGCTGCTAAGTGCTTTGGGGGAAGCAAGGATGAGGCGGCACAGTCCTGGGCCACAGGTCTTCCACAGCCCGGCAGAGGGTTTACAGCAAAAACGCAGGAAGAGAACGAGTACATAATGTGTGTTTATAAACATAAACTCTATATGTTAAATATAGCATATAATAAAATAGATTCTATAACATATGTAAATGTATACTCACTATAAAAATATATTTTATATAGAGTATATAATGTAGTATACTAGTATATTAGGTTTTCAAGAAGAGAGCTATTATTTCCTTTAGGGGATTGAAAAAAACTACTTAACGTGAGAGTAATGTGTGATCTGACTTTGAACGAATGGGGAACAGTAGAAATTAATGTTGGAGTCATGCTAAGAAGGAGGGGGGTTCTGGATAGAAAGAACTTGACAAAGATTTAAAGACAGGGAAAAAAAGTGTATTTGGAGAGTATGAAGCGTATTAGTTGTTCTTCTCCAGAACTCTAGAAGGCCCATAGGGAAGTGGCAGGGAATTGGGCTGCAGAGACAGGTAGAGCTGTTGTGCTGTAGACCTCGGCTTACATAGAGAGGACTTCCTATTTGACTTGTTTTGACAAGGGGTTGCTACTGAAGGGCACTGAAGGACCATGATCACAGCTGAATTCATGTGGATTTTCTTCTTCGTCCAGCTCCACCCACAAGTGCCTTTGTTCTTTCCCCGAGGGGCTCCCCGAGTGGCTGCCGTGCCACTCCCCAGCAGTGCGCCAGAGTTCTGGTTTTGTTCTGCATCTTCTCATTGTGGTTTTAGTCTGCATGTCATGAATTACAAATAAAATTGGTCACCTTTACTTATGCTTATTGGCCTTTTCAGTGTCTTTTGCAAAATGCCTGTTAAGGTCTTTTCCCCATTTTTCTATTGGTTTCGTATCTTTTATGTATTGATTTGTTGAGTTTTGTTACATATTCTAGATATGGGCCTTTTGTCACACACAACCACACAAATAAACATCTGTACATTAACAAGCATTGGAAGATACCGATTTAAGAAAAACAACATGCAAAGGATTACTGTAGATCCTTACCCAAGCAGATGACTTTGAAAAAGAATAATAGATTATTGGAAATTCAGGGTCTTGAAATTGATCCCTGCAAACTATCCTTCCCACATGTCCTTAGAAAGTCTCTATGTATAGTCAGATGTACGCATACACCAATTTGAAGAATGTCGGTTTGGAATATATTGAGTTCACTTTTATTTTTCCAGCTTTATTGAGATATAATTGACATATAACATTGTAAAATTTAAGGTGTACAACACAATGACTTGACACATGTATTAATTAGTAAATGATTTACCAGAATAAGTTTAGTTACTATATCTATCTTATCACAGTTACAATTTTTTTCTTGTGAAAAGGACTTTAAGATACACTCTGTTAGCAACTTTCAAATATACAATATAGTATTGAAGGGTCAGGAACACCTGTAGCTAGAATTTCTTAGCAGGCAATTGGAAATGTGCTTCTAGAATAATGGTATATTACTAAATTTCTCAGGCTGTTTCCTCCTGAAGAACAGGAATATCAACACCACCCTGTCTACTCACATAGTCGTGGTACTTGTGAGAAAAAATATCACTGACTTTGTTAGAAAAAATTAAAGTAGCATACAATTGCTTACTTTAGTGGTTATTACCATGATGTGCTGTTGCCTTGGACTCATTGAGATCCATTAGGACAGGTTTGGTGATTTTATTGGGGGCTATCAGTTCTCTGTGGGTATCTACAACTTACATTATTTCTTTCCTTGTAATTTACATTAATTATTAATCATGGAAAAGTAATAGTTGAGATTAACCATGGTAAATGATTTAAATGATAAACAAAACAGAAAAAATAACTTTCTTTTTCCATTAACCTCATTCCCTTTTTCTAAAGATAACCATTGTTAAGTCTCTTATGTGTGTGTTCTTTCAGAAACATTCTATACATTTTTGTGGATATATTTTACACAAATGGGTTCATATTATGCAAACTATTCTTTTTTATCTAATATATCTTGGAAAGATTTCCTTATTTTGAA